ACGGTAAAATTTGGTGGTGGATATGTAATGTTGTGGGGTTGCATCAAAAGCGATTGTTGAAGAAAATTGGCTAAAGTTGATGGAAACCTAAATATCGAAAACGAATTTACTATGGTGTAATCTTCTGTCAGACTACGAAGATAGAGACATTTTTTCATCATGACATTGCTCCTTGCCACATATCACGCGCAACAAAAAGGTTTTTGTGGATGGAGATGTTCAAATTTTGGAAGAATGGCCAGAACAAAGTCCTGATCTCAATATAATTGATGCATTTTGGTGATAACTGAAGAAATAAGTGCTCCAACGAATATCGCATTATCGCCAAGAGCTTTGGGATTACTAGCGTAAAGAATACAAAAGAAACCCAATGAGATAATCTGGACCTTGATAATATGGCATATCGAATTGAGGCAATTATTCGATCCAGCAACACTATTTACGAACCCCATATTTTGACGACCTGTACTTTCTGCAATAAGAAAGAACACTTTTTATTTTTCAAAAAAAAAAAAAATCCCTTTTTATCTTAAAGGAGATGAAAGGTGACAATTTCGCTGGTTGCTCAGTATTTTTGCATGACCCTTTTTTTCAGTATCAGTATGCATAAGATGCTCTATCATTAACCATACAGCATTAACGAAGATGCAGTCACTTGTTTTCTGGTTTTCAAATATCATAAAACGTACTGAGAAAAGCATAGTGCCAATCACTCTCAATCTATGCGAAAAATGAAAAGAGGTAATTAATTTAACAAGTTTTGCACTTGAGCGTAAAACGCAAACAGCTCCGAGTTAACCATTAGGAAAAGTAGTAAATGCTACGGGCTCCACATTTTCGAGGCTCACCCATTAAATGCTTTCAAACCCTAAAGCATCTTACGATGTGATAATGTTAACCCTTTACCTGTCCAGGGCATTTTCGTGTGTACTATCCAAATGTTTATGCTTGTTTTCAGATTTATATCTAATTGCAAGACAACTCAGCTTATTTAGCAAATAGAATATAGTTATTTTCCAAGCGTAGCTTAGATGTGGCACAAGGCCGAAAGTATGGGGCATCTAGTGAGGATCGAACTCACTTTTCAGTTGTAACTGATCCAGCGAGACAAGCTTGATAACCATTACACCACGCCGAGGTGCCCTTACCAAATAGAATATATAGTGTTTCACATAATAACATGTGAAGAACGTACAAATCATAAGTTATTTACTCTATGCTCTGTGCATCACATGTGATGCAAAGGCTATAATCATTTAAATAAAGTGGAAAAATAAATGTCTTTCCTTTGATACATTACATTAATCAGGCAAGCGTCCTGTGGTCATATATTGTTGTGTACGATACACCTAATTTACATAAGTGGAGTACCGACCATATAAATATGGGTTGGTACCGGAAGAAAGAGAAGTAAGAAGAGATCCACTCGAGAGACTCTGCCCGACTGCTATTTAGTCAACCTATTCTGCAGGAACAGTCTTCCCAAGAATATACCAACACTAACTGTAAATATTGTGTACCTTTTTCCTTGTTTCAATACATTTTGTTTACGTACATTTTGTGTTGTATTATTATTATTATTATTATTCCATGCTTATCCAAGCTTCAACATATATGGTGGACAACATTCCCTTCCTCAGACGTTCTGCTCAATAGTAAACATTTCTAAAGCGTCCTTAGTTTTATCACTCTTTTAAAATCATCGCCCGTGTAAACCACATAGGATTCACGGAGGTAGAAATAACATGTCCTTTCCATCACATATGATGCGCAGGACAGGCAAAGGGTTAATATTTTGGTGTTATCTATTAAAATTTGTTTTATGTTAAAATTATTCTGGTTATTCGTGATATGTTGATCTATATGTGCGAGAATTGTACCAAATTTTGACAAATGAAAAGTTAACCCACAAATCAGTTGTGACTAAACCAATTCCCTCTCTGCTCAACCAAAACAACAGAACAGCTCTTGGATTATTAATATCCAAAGTACTTATCTTGGTCAATTTATTCTTCGATTTGTTCTGTCCATTATGTGTTCAAGCCATACCTTCACCCAACCCGATCACCACAACTCAACGTCGTATTTTGCATCTACGCCCTCTGGGCTTCTTATTTCTCTACAACAACCCCATTTTGTAACCCTCTACCTTGAGCGGCTCTTGGGTCATGTATGCGTTGTAAAATAGTATAAAAATTAAAACAAATAAAAACTTTATAAACAGATTCTTCAATTTTGGTGGGGGACATACTGTGTTGTCGTACGAATCTCTTTTATCCAAATCTCTAGAATGAAGCAAAAAGCGCCTACGAATCGTACAGAAGAAACGATCGTCTAATGAATATGCCACAATATGTTATTATAATTCTTCTGGTCCATTACTTTGTAAGCACGACTGTTATACCTTGCCAATACTTCATAAATAACGAACTATTCCGTTTTGTTCGCGCGGAAAAACGGAAAAGACATATCAGTAACGCTAATCGGTTTCAATAAGAAAATGAAAAACAAAGAAATGTTTATTTAACGCCACCTGCTAATTAATCAGTCAAGCGTCCTGTGGTCATATACGATGTACAAAATATTAGGTTGGCTCTTTCCTCAGACGTCCTTCTGAGTAGTAGACACTTTTCTTAAGCATCCTTATTTTTACCACTCTTTCAAAATCATGGCTCGTGTTCACCACATATGATGTACGGAGCTGGAAATCACATATCATACGCAGGACAGGAAAATGGTTATTATTTACATGCCGTGAGGAACTGCCTGTTCAATTATTCATCAGTTAACTCAACATTATACCAAGGCTGTTAAATCTACTCAAATAACATCATTAGAATCATCTGCCTCGAATTTTTCTTGGTTTCTTTATCATATTGATAGAAGTTAAATATTTGCCTGTTTTGCGCGATCACTACGCTAGTAAATGATTTAATAATTAATATTTACATGTACTAAATAATTAATATTTACATATAATGTTTCGGACGCTTTTATAACATATCCTACAAGATATGCATTAGCTTACTTCCTGGACACACTTAAGCAATCGTTTTTTTATTTCTTCTCCTCGTTTTATTTTTCGATTGCTTTATCGGCTGTTTCTACCATAAAGGAGCAACAATGCATAATAAAATATATAATAATATGCATAGAGAGTGTTCTGTTTAAATATTCACACAGTTAAACAGCACACTCTCTAAAGCATATTTTGCGTGCATCTAAACACACACGCACACTATAATGGCATACAGACACATACGCACACTATAAACATATTTAAACACATACGCAAGCAGTACACAGATTCAGACGTACATATACGTGTAGGGGTACCCTGAGGGTACCCTGAATCAGGATAGAACTGTTTGTCACCTTATAAGAGGCGCTTTATGAAAAGGTATTCAAATTTTTGCCTATAGCGTGGTCGACTTCAGAGACTCACACGGCATATCAAGAATGCTGAGATGAATTGAGTAAGCAGTGCTCTACGAAAATATCATATATATATATATATATATATATATATATATATATAAAACGAATGTCTTTGCAGCCAATGAATACAATCTTTATGCAAAGTTCTTTAATATCATAACTTACCAACTGAATTTCGTTGTCGGAAAGTTGTTTCACAAATGTGAACAATAAATGCTGTCATTTCTCAAAAGTCATGGTCATTGACATTTGACAAAATGCACATATACCCAAGTATGCACACATATGCACAGAGAGAGAGAGAGAGAGAGAGAGAGAGAGAGAGAGAGAAAAAAATGAGAGAAGGAGAGAGAGACAGTGTGAGAGAAAGAGACGTTTGTGATAGTGCTATACATGCTTTGTATTTTTATGTTGTTTAAGATCTGCGAAGGAATGACGAAGCAAAGATAAATAATAAATCGTTTCGAAAGAAGCAATAGAAAGAAACACAGGGGGAAAAGACGAGGTGAAAAGAAAGAAAGAACCCAGTAAACAAACAAAGAGGAGAAAGAAAGAAAGAATACAAAAAATAATGAAGAGAAAAGAATGAGAGAAAGAAACAACAAAAGAAAGAAAAAGAAAGAGGAGAAAAAAAGTAAATTAGGAAAGAAAGAAAGAAAGAAAGAATACAAAAAATAATGAAGAGAAAAGAATGAGAGAAAGAAACAGCAAAAGAAAGAAAAAGAAAGAGGAGAAAAAAGTAAATTAGGAAAGAAAGAAAGAAAGAAAGAATACAAAAAATAATGAAGAGAAAAGAATGAGAGAAAGAAACAGCAAAAGAAAGAAAAAGAAAGAGGAGAAAAAAAGTAAATTAGGAAAGAAAAGAAAGAAAGAAAGAATACAAAAAAAAATGAAGAGAAAAGAATGAGCGAAAAGAAACAAAAAAAAGAAAGAAAAAGAAAGAGGAGAAAAAAGTAAATTAGAAAGAAAGAAAGAAAGAAAGAATACAAAAAATAAAATGAGAGAAAGAAACAACAAAAAGAAAGAAAAAGAAAAGGAGAAAAAAAGTAAATTAGGAAAAAAAGAAAGAAAGAATACAAAAAATAATGAAGAGAAAAGAATGAGAGAAAGAAACAGCAAAAGAAAGAAAAGAAAGAGGAAAAAAGTAAATTAGGAAAGAAAGAAAGAAAGAAAGAATACAAAAAAATAATGAAGAGAAAAAGAATGAGAGAAAGAAAATAAAAGAAAGAAAAAGAAAAGGAGAGAAAAAAGTAAATTAGGAAAGAAAGAAAGAAAGAAAGAATACAAAAAAAATAATGAAGAGAAAAGAATGAGAGAAAGAAACAACAAAAAGAAAGAAAAAAAAGAGGAGAAAAAAGTAAATTAGGAAAAAAAAAGAAAGAAAGAAAGAATAAAAAAATAATGAAGAGAAAAGAATGAGAGAAAGAAACAACAAAAAAAAGAAAAAGAAAAAGAAAAAAAGTAAATTAGGAAAGAAAAAAGAATACAAAAAATAATGAAGAGAAAAGAATGAGAGAAAGAAACAGCAAAAGAAAGAAAAAGAAAGAGGAGAAAAAAGTAAA